CTTGCAAGGACTGTATTCAGAATACAAAATGATCAACACCATTTGTACATCATAGCACTCATTTACTGTTTTTAATGTCAGTTTTGCATGGTACAACGAAACTCCACATTTTGTCAGAAAGCTGAATTGGCTGATTGTTTTTGCTGTAAAATTGGTTTGTATTCTAATACAATTTGTATCGATGCCATAGCGGTTAATTTTACTACAGGTGAAACGTGTTTTGAATTTGTGCGCTAGTTTTATCATTCTTGTTCCAGTCAAACCGTGCAGCTGTACTGACTCGAGCTCGGCTTCCTCCAACGACAAATTGCATCATTCCGGTTCATGATTGACCCCAGATGCATTACAAAGCAGTTGATGCAGCTCAGCAAGGGGACTTGTTCCTGTACTGGGTCTTGGCAGGGTCTTGCTCATGAAGAATACTGGGCGTCGGTGGCAATAGTCACAAAACCCTGAGGGAAGAACATCTCTTTAATTCTGATTCTGGTGGGCAACACACTGCACTTGATCCTGTCTTTACTAAATGCAGGGTTGTAAGATGGAAAATGCTGTAAATGGGACTTTTTTCACCTTTAAAGCATCACTTTTGAGATGAATTGATCTGGTGGGGAGCAGGACATTTAATTTAAACTAGCTCAGAAAGGGTCATTATCCAGGTGGGACTACACATTAGTGGTGGTAGTGGGATTCCCCATTACCTGTAAAGTGCTTTGAGTGGAGTGTCCTGAAAAAGTGCTAAAAATGTAAGGATATTTAATAAAATAGGTCAAAAAACTATAGGAGAGAGTGGCAACAATGGTGCTATTATACCAGCACTGGGTGGAGTGGTGGCTCTGTGGCTGGAAGGTTGCCGGTTCAAATCCTGCAGCTGGCAGAGGCCTCCTACTCCCTTGGGCCCCTGAGCAAGGCCCTTAACCCCAACTGCTCCAGGGGTTGTGTACAATGGCTGACCCCAGGCTTCTCTCTCCCTGTCTGTGTGTCTCAGGGAGAGCAAGCTGGGGTTTGTGAAAAGACAAGTTCCTAATGCAAGAAATTGTATAGGGCTAATCAAGTGATCTCATAGTAGTGGTGTAGCTTGGCCCTGGCCTGTCCACCCCATTCTTTCTCCGCCCCCTGGATGTGTCCTGTAGCCAGGTGTGTGAACGGAGGCCTAAACTTTCAGGCAACAGACTGTTCTGCCTTGGTGGTAGGTGGTGGAATTAAGGCTCATGTAATGTTAGAAACCA